ATATTAAATTAATTGGCGCTTTGACATGTAAAAAAATAAAAATTTAAGAATCTATGATATCGTACTCAAAATTCCACACTTAAATATTTTTTTAGCGAATACCATCCCACAATTATTTCGATTTACTTTGACGGAAGATAAATACAAAAATACAAAATTACAAAAAAAGCTAATATAATTTTTTACCATTATTATTTCTCTATATTAATTTAGTTAGACTTTTTTTTTTCAACAATAGTTGATTATTATTTACGGATCACTGGAAAAACAAACAGATTTTTTANTAAATACAAAAATACAAAATTACAAAAAAAGCTAATATATTCTTTTACCATAAATATTTCTCTATATTATTTTAGTTATGCCGTGTTTTATTCAACAATAGTTAATTATTATTTACGGATCACTGGAAAAACAAAAAGTTTTTTTACATCTTCAATGAGAAAATCTCTTATGGTTCTTTCTCTATCACGCATATCATGCCATCATTGTTTATCTTTTCGCGGTCGTATAGACTAGTGACACTAATGTATACTATTTAGAGATAATTTTTAATAGTTGTGTTCACTCAAAGCGATCCGATTGAGGGATGGGCTACTAATATGAAGAGTGTGCCCGGCTTGTGCGTGGGCGTAGCATTAGGAGTTATACACGTTTTTATGGCCAATTACAGTAATCCTCTATTTATTATGCCGGCTGACAACGTATCTAATATGATTATCACCTCGGCTTGGCACGCTTCCAAACCAAAGTAAGTATATCATTTACAACTTAATAATCTGTAGTATAATATTTTTTTTTGGGGAAGGGGTGTTTGTCGAGATTCCAATATGTATAACATTTACATACTTTTATATATCTATAGGGATTTTTTGAAGGACGTTTTAAAAATTCATATTTTCCTTTATAAAATAAAATACAAATTCTACTAAAACAAATTATTTGAATAAATTTTACCAGTAAATAAGAATTAACTTATTTCATATTGCATCCTAACAAATACATAACAGATACATAAAATATTATTGTTTCTAAATCAAAATAGTACTAAGTTATTTGATCAATTTTGTATCATCCGTGGTGATGTTATGGATACCAGTCAGGTTCTGGGAGAAAATACTATTGAGGCACTGTGACACTATATGATCCATTATTTGCNTTGAATAAATTATACAAGTATATAAGAATTAACTTATTTCATGTTACATACTAATAAATACATAACATATACATTAATTATTATCGTTTCTAAATCAAAATAGTATTAGGTTATTTGATCAATTTTGTATCATCCGTGGTGATAATATGGATACCAGTCAGGTTCTGGGAGAAAATACTATTGAGGCACTTTGTCACTATATGATCCATTATTTGCTTGGTCTCTCCATAATCTCACGAAAGTTTATCTCTTTACTTTAATTTAAGTTAAAAGTGTTTATATTTGCATTGCTCTATTTTATTCACTATCAACAACCTACGTCTTGGAATATTCATTCCTTATAATAGAGTACAAATGGTATTTTGTTCGTAGCCTTTCCTGCATGTACCAAATCCTTTTTTTATATTTTTTATTATAATTATACTTTTATATATTTTATTATTTCATAGGTCAAACGATTTAATTCCCGTATTCAACCACACACCCTATGATTCTCCACCGTTACATTTTGGTAAAAGTTTTGAGACAATTGCAAATTTATTGGTGGAACACAACATTTGTTCAGAAAAAATTGTAAGTGAATTCAATATTTCAATTTAAGTTGCTATAAAATACATGTTTATCATTATACTTTGGTCGTCATTACAAAGGATGGTAAGAAGTAATTGATTTTCGAACTAAAAGTGGCCAATAATCGAACAAACTGAAATCCAATAGTTTTTATTGAGTTTATCTCAAAATGATAAAATTATATTAGCATGGTGACAATGTATTGGTTATTTTAGATTCTGAGTAGAGCGAGGAATGTAATAGACGTTAATTATTTTTAAATTCTATGTGCAACGAGAAATGTTTTGGTTTTACAATGAGGGTTATTTTATTTTTTTAATATTAACCTTTTTTCTATCACAAAGTATTCTCTGATTATTGAGTACAGTATTTTGTGTAGAAATTTTTTGTAAGTGGTAATTTAAAAAGGTAATTTTTTGAAATTCTCGCGATAGTCGAGATAATGAGGAAATTTCGGTAGTAAGAAAGAGTGTTAAGAAATATATTTAAAATAAGATTGTTATTGGCAACCGTTATTTATATGTCTCTTGTTATTGCTATTGTCATTGTTGTCATGTAAACGCACGTTGTTGTTATAATTTTACTCTAATATCAATTTTATTTATTATTGACAGTTAAATGTGTTGGTTACA